TAATTTATGGTAACTTATCAATATATAATTCATACCTATCAATGCAATGAAGGAAAGGAAGAAAAAAAAAAAACGCTTGCGAAATTCCTTGCATAAAAAATGAAAACAACACGTTTCATGCGTCCGAAGCGCTTTTCATATTTTACCCTGTTGATTGGATAAATACTAAATAAGGAGATGTTGTGGTAATATGATTGTCCAAGAGACGCCTATACAATAGAGTCATGTTGTGGTAATATGATTGTCCAAGAGACGCCTATACAACAGAGTCATGTTGTGGTAATATGATTGTCCAAGAGACGCCTATACAACAGAGTCATGTTGTGGTAATATGATTGTCCAAGAGACGCCTATACAACAGAGTCATGTTGTGTTAATATGATTGTCCAAGAGACGCCTATACAACAGAGTCATGTTGTGGTAATATGATTGTCCAAGAGACGCATATACAACAGAGTCATGTTGTGGTATTATGATTGTCCAAGAGACGCATATACAACAGAGTCATGTTGTAACTTGTGGTATTATGAATGTCCAAGAGACGCCTATACAACAGAGTCATGTTGTGTTAATATGATTGTCCAAGAGACGCCTATACAACAGAGTCATGTTGTGTTAATATGATTGTCCAAGAGACGCCTATACAACAGAGTCATGTTGTGTTAATATGATTGTCCAAGAGACGCCTATACAACAGAGTCCAGAGGAATGAGCATTCGCAAACGTTCATCTTCAATGCAGCAATTAAAACTCGTAACATACAAAAAAATACTTATTACACATATTGCCAAGTGTGTTACAGAACTATTGAATTGTATTAATTTTTAGTCAACCAAAATATTGTTAAAACAGATATTTTAATCAGATGGTTATTACTTTTTTTGAAATGCCATGCCACTTATTCATTCTTATCGATGATAATTGTCTTAGTATGTTTGTCGATATATATTTTGCTTTATATACATATGTTTTGAGATAAAAAAAAAACCTGTCATAACTTAAGAATACTATAGATATTTGTATAAAGCTTGAACTTCGTTATTTAATATAAGTATAGTATATTGTAGTATTTCAAGGAGGCTTGTTTGTATTGATTCTAGAACTGCATCGAGTGTGATACAGTAGTTCTACAACTCGAAAAAGTTAAATAAGTAAAGCAGGGAGATGTTGTTTTTTTAAACATATTACAATAGTGTGGAGTAATATCTTATCAGATGAAATACAGTAATTGTAATTGTTTCTTCAATGATTTTAGATTTTTCTTTTGTCGCCAATGGATATTGAATATTCCCTAATAGAAAAAAAACATTGAACTTTTATGAAGTTATGCCAACATTGTTGATTTACATTTTTATCATATGTTAAGCAAAAATATATGATGTATGTCCAGTTTTGCATATGCAATAAAACGATGATGAATGACATTTATTCTTATGTTGTGGTGTCACACCATTGTTTCAGGTTGAGGTAAGGTTGAACGTTCGAAAACATGTTAGTAGTTGTCAGTGGTTGTCGTTTGTTGCTGATTATCATTTTTGTATTTCGTTCATTGGTTTTTACATAAATGAGGCCGTTAGTTTTCTCGTTTGAATTGTTTTACATTTGTCATTTCGGGGCTTACTAGTATGTGGTATGGGTTTTGCTCATCGTTGAAGGCCGTCAATCATATCACCACATCTCCTTATTTAATGTTTATCAAATCAACAGGGTAAAATAAACGTTGTAACCCTATTGCTGCCTCTAATTTAATGTGGTTACATTTCGTTTGTCAGGAAATACGACGTTTGTCACATCACACGCCCGACTATGGCGTTATTTGATGTCACAACCTGATGAAGCTACATTGGAGGCCTGATGAAGCTACATTGAAGTCCCATTGAAGAACCATATTACACTGTTTACACATGTAATCTTTAATTTTGAAGAGATATAGTAACGAACAGTTGCTTGTTTAAATTAAAAATATGGACAGAACCGGACCGATATTAATATGTGTTCTCTGCCTACATCTCTCTTCCCAGGTGTTCATAGAATTGCTTATCAGTGTTTCAGTTGTCTGTAGCACTCTGCTCAGCTCTTCATAAAATTGCATTTGTGATGTCAAAAACGTTAACCCGGCCTAAATAACTTTGACCCGGACATATCAAGTCAACTTCTAGTTTGGTGATGATACAAAGAAATCACTTGTTTCTATCATGCAAAATACACAAAAAAAAATCGATAAATCCATTATCAGATTTCATTATATTTATACTGTAAAATGTAAGTTGCTCGACACAATATGAAGCCTGTTTCAAGTCGTTCGCTGCGCTCAATCGACAAAAACGTTCATATTGGGACTCGCAGCTGAGAATTTACAATATCAATAAGCAGATAACTTGATAATCGGTACATATATCGGGGCTGTGAAGTCAACAATGCTTGGTGCGGACTTTTCATGAACACCTGATAATCGGTACATACATGTATAACGGGCTTGTGAATTCAATAATGCTTGGTGCGGACTTTTCATGAAAACGTGATAATTGGTACATTTGTACGCCTCATACCAAATAACTTTTATGTTCATTTCCTATCATAGTATTGAACGACTTTAGTAGTTCTTTTATGCTGAAAAATACATTTATTTATTATGGTACACCCGCGGTATAAACAAGACAAGCATTACAATAACTTTTTTTCTCCCCCAAAGAATAGTTGTGCTTTAAACATATGACAATTATTGTCCAAACATATAAAATATATTTAGCAATTAAGAATGATGAACACACTGCCAGCATGCAATTTCTCTAATTTCCCTAATCCCAAATTTTTTTTGTAAAATTGATTTATTAGGTAATTCACCACTATACTTTACAAAATGTGCTTTTTTTGTCAATATTGAACAACTCATCTAAACGGCTTTAAAATGATCCATCTTTCTACTGTGCTTATTGGGTAATTAACCACCGACAGAGTTCATAACCAACCTATACACCCTACTCAACTATTAAGTGATATATTTTCTCGATTCTTTCGTAAGTGCATTGAAATCTATCCCAAAAATCCCCAAAAAGTTTCATTCATACGACTTTGTGTCTTCTGTGTACTAATATGTATAAAATCATGAGTATACTAGCGGTTTAATATATACTATACATTTGATACTTTAAGATATGTAACATTCCTCCTGTCTTGTATATTGATCAGTAGTCATAGTGTGCTATTCATTCAGTAAAATATTAATTACAATGCACATCGAATGTAACATTACATGTGTAACGATTCGTATAACAATATGTTTACAGCATTCCGGAGAAGTTTACTAGACATCTACATCTACTAAATAGAAAGGTTCATACAGTAACGGAAGTGTTCTGTCAATTTGCATTATGTTGGAATCGAAAAGTATGGTATTTAATCGTCATTAACTCAATGGTCTTATTTAACAAGTTATTAAAGATGAACTTAAGATAAATTATGACATTTTGTTTCATATAATAATATACAAGAAACATGCATAAAAAAATGACAATGTACTTAGTAGTGTGAGACTTTATTATATGTCTGTTGATTTTCAGGACTGATTTTAAGGGGGTACCTAACACTTGGACTAATAAAGATTTGGCTCGTTCAATTTTCATAAAATTTTGACAAAATAATTATTTTGACCTGTTGGCAATAATATAAAAATTGCAAGAAATTTGAATCACACAATTTACAGGAATAATTTCATTGGATATCATATAGCAGTTTGACAAACACTAATTTGGATCATTGAGAATTTTGATTTTTCTTTACTAATAGTATGTGATTAAAATGAGTTTAACTCCCTTATTTGTTCTGCACCCCCTTAAGTCTCCGATGAAATTACTAACATATTTGTCCTGCAATGAAAATGGTCCCGTATGTGGATTTATTTTCTATTATTATCACTATGTCTGTGAACAAGTGTTCACAAAGGTACCATTCACCCAGTAGGAGGTGATTTATCCCTCATCATCAATTATTACATTTTATACCGCATACACTTTGTAACATTTTATTTGTCTTTCGTCTATTTATTTTGTCTATGGTATTGTTGTTACTTACTCGACCTGTAGTTTTTAATTACCTTCTTGGAATCAGCTTTCTTATAACAGAAATTCACCAATTACGTTGATGAACTTTGAAATTTTAATAGCGTTCCGTATGCAGGTTGATAAAAAAAAGAACTCTTCGGATGCACATTTGATATACATGTAATCACTTTTCTTCATCAATGTTAAATTTGAAGAGTAGGATAATATGTCAATAGTTGTACTATGTTCAGTATTTCAAGAACTGCCGAGTTCATCACCGGATTTGGGAGAGATTCGTGTTCTCACTCTTTAGTTTTATGTGAGCTGTTTTGTCGCCTGTGGTCTGTTTGTCTTATTTTATATATTTGTTATGGTGTTGAATGTTTATTTTCGATACATGGTTTTGAATTTCCCCCTTAATATCTTCTCTTAACTTTACAAATTCTAATTGTGATGTCTCATTTGATAATGGTACACTCAAGGTGCAAATGACAGTTACACACTCAATCGATACTTTTATTTGATAACTGTTTTATGTGAGTGTAATCATAACTTAAAATTGAGCAGTAAAAATCAACTTATTATAAGATTCGATGATTTTAAAAGACTTTGGCCATTTCAAATGTATTCGCTCAGCCAAAACTTTCTGAAAACACCAAAATAATTAGACTATTTGTATAGTTATAATACTATTTGATTATTTTTAGATAATCAACTCGAATAAAAAACGACCGAAATAATTATACGTTAAACCTAGTTGATGCCTCTAGATTTGTAGGGAGAAACGTTCAGTTCATACTTTGTTCTAAACTATCAAAATTATGATGTAAATTTGAAACATTATAAATATATAATAGTATACCTACCTTCTTCATAGATATAACTTTAATGTAGTACATACGGAAACATCTGCACATGTGCCTTTAAATGTTTTAGAATTAAAATAAAAAAGCGACTTACCAACTTTTCATATCAGCAATTTTCAATCTATTAAATCCTTAAAGAATATAATAATCCTACAAGTTGTTACAATGATCTGATGCACAGAATCAATTTGCCAGAATGTCTGGAATTCATTTTCATTATCTTACATCCGATCATCGCTTGTGAATCGTTCAAAAACACAACTGTCAAGGGAATAGTAGACTTAAAGTAATAAGTACCTTCTCTATAGCATAAGATAATTTTACTAAGGCTGTTCAGTATTTTGTTATATTACGAATAAAACGATAAAACACAGCAAGTCTAGAATCTGAAAAAAAATGTGTCTTTTACTGTTGCAATTACTGCAAAAATATTTCCAATAGCAAAGCACGATATATAAATAAATTACCAGTGAAATTCCCTGCCACTTTACTGATTAAAGTAGAATAGATTTGTAACGATACTAAAACTACCACTCTCTTGCCTTTAAACGCAATCATTAACACTATAGATATCTGAAGAGTCAATCGAAACTATAAATGTTTTATTGGATCTATTACATCAGTACAAAGCTTTATCTTTATAAAAGTAGTTCACAATCATCAATAAAACGACATTGAAATACCAAGTACAACCGTTCAAAGCTCTGAGCTCTGTTAACAAATACTATCATCAATACAAACGCACTATAAAACTAAGTATGACCGTTCAAAGTTCTGTGATCGCGTACTGTCATCAAAACAATGACTTTAAAATACCAAGTACTGCTCTTTATTGCTCTGTTACTGAGTACAGTCATCAACACAACAACTTTAAAATACAGAGTACAATTCCTAAGAGGTTTGTAAACAAGTTCAGCCATCAACAGGGTGACATTGAAATACAGAGTACAATTCCTAAGAGGTTTGTAAACAAGTTCAGCCATCAACAGGGTGACATTGAAATACAGAGTACCATTCTTAAGAGGTTTGTAAACAAGTTCAGATTTATTCCTGTATTGCTATGAATCTCAGTTTATGACCACACTTAGTAAAGACACGTCATTGTTACATTTGGTTGATACATTCAACAATACCTTCCGTTATCTAGATGATATTTTTTCGTTAAATAATCCAGAGTTCTCTAAATATACTACCGAAATTTACCCAAAAGAACCTACTTTAACTAAATCTAACATAAACAGCAGTAGTTGTCCTTTTCTAGATTTGGACATTTCAATCTCTAAAGGAAAACTCCATACTAAAATTTACGACAAAAGAGACGACTTTTCATTCCCTATTGTAAATTTTCCTTTTTTAGACGGCGGTGTTCCTTTGTTTCCATCATACGGTGTTTATATATCCCAACTCGTTCGTTATGCCCGTGTGTGTAGTGATGTCATAGATTTTAACGAACGTAATCAATGCATCTCTGGTAAATTATTAGGTCAAGGGTTTCGTTACCATAAATTACGTAAAACTTTAACTAAATTCTTTCATAGATACAAATATTTGATTATTAAATTTGGCTGTACCTGTAGAAAACTGATTAAAAACGGTATTTCACATCCTAAATTTTACGGTAATATTGTACTTAAAGCGCAGAAATCACTATGTAATCCGTGTAAACTCATCAAACCTTTAAACAAACTTATTAATAAAGGTTATCTTACCAATGTTGTAATTAGATCTTTGAATATAGTTTACATTGGCACTAATATCGATTTTGTCATCAGCAAATTAAAACATAACTATATTTGTATTCTTTTCAAACGCGATGTATGAAGACACATCCATGTTCATTTTGATCTTTAAAAAGGTTAACTCCTAACTATCCTACTGCCTGTCGATACATTTTTTTTGGCATTGCACAAGTTATGTTTTCTTTGACTGTCCATGACGTTAAAATACTAAATCCCTGGGATGTGTTTTAGTTGATTTTAGTCTCTGATGCATGATTTTTTATTATTAATAGTTTTTGGCTTTTAACTTTCAGTAACTGCGAGTACTCTCAAATCGTACTTTCTTGTTTATTTGACCGGTTGATACTAATTGTAATGCTTTTTTGTTATTTAATGTTATTCAGGGTTATATCTGGTCTATATACCAGCTTTGATAAGTGTTTGGTATTACTATAAATTTTCACTTCTTCGTACTATGAACATCAAAATTATTTATTTTGTAAAAATATTTCCTTTCTCTATTTGAACTGTACACGTATACCTAACAACAAAATTGTTTTCATTTACCTGTGTTTAAAGTAATTGCAAATGGCTGATATTTTTGTTCAAGCATATTGTTTTTCTTAAATTGTTTAACATTTCACAGCGGTATAATATGTTACTTTAATTATTCTTCCCTTAGTTCATATTTATTTTGTATTTACATTGTATCATAGATCAAATTTATTTGTTCAGTGTATGTTCTCTGGTGTTAATATGTCTTTTGATTGAGTTAAGCCATTTCAATTGATATTTTATAGCGTGTCTTTCTATGTTGTGATGTTACACTATTGTTTCAGATAAGGGTGAAAGTTTGGTACCATTAAAACGTTTAAACCCGCTGCAATTGTTTGCACCTGTCCTAAGTCAGGAATCTGATGTTCAATAGTTGTCGTTTGTTGATGTGGTTCATAAGTGTTTCTCGTTTCTCGTTTTTTATATAGATAAGACCGTTGGTTTTCCCGTTTGAATGGTTTTACACTAGTAATTTTTGGGGCCCTTTATAGCTTGCTGTTCGATGTGAGCCAAGGCTCCGTGTTGAAGACCGTACTTTGACCTATAATGGTTTACTTTTATAAATTTTGACTTGGATGGAGAGTTGTCTCATTGGCACTCATACCACATCTTCTTATAACTATCAGCCATCAACAGGGTGACATTGAAATACAGAGTACCATTCTTAACAGGTTTGTAAACAAGTTCAGCCATCAACAGGGTGACATTGAAATACAGAATACAATTTTTAAGAGGTTTTTAAACAATTTCAGCCATCAACAGGGTGACATTGAAATACAGAATACCATTCTTAAGAGGTTTGTTAACAAGTTCAGCCATCAACAGGGCGACATTTAAATACAGAGTACGATTCTTAAGAGGTTTGTAAACAAGTACGGTCATCAACAGGGTGACATTGAAATACAGAGTACAATTCTTAAGAGGTTTGTAAACAAATTCAGCCATCAACAGAGTGATATTGAAATACCAAGAACAACACTTTACAACTTTTTTCTTATAAAGTCGTCAATAGAGCGACCCCGAGTATAGGCGTTTAACAATTAAAATAAATAAAAGGAGAAGTTATACAAAGGGACCAATAAATTAATCGAATAAAACATACAACACCATGGCAAAAATAGAAACAAAGGATGAAAGTATTAAAGACTAACAACAATCTATAAAACACTACACAGAAAAAACTAAGGACTGAGTTACATAAAATGCCATCAGAAACAGGCCGGGGGTGAAGTGATGTGCTCCGGAAAAACCGGCCGGGATAAAGTAATGTGCTCCGGAAAAACCGGCCGGGAGTGAAGTGATATTCTCCGGGAGACTAAGCAGTTCCTGTTTCACTTTTTGAAACGTTATCTTACTTATTGCAAGAAAAAAAAAGTTCGGTGATGTCACAGTCGGGGAAAAATGACGGGATTGTGTCTACGACACGTGGAACATACCGGGGGTATATGTATCCGTGGACAATTGTGACTCATTTTCCCCATGACGGCCAATTTATTTTTACTGGCAATAAGTAAGATAACGTTTCAATATATATATAATTTATATAAAATGTCTGAATAATAGCCAACGATAAATCTTATGAGGCGATGGATCATATAAATATGATACAGTACACTACAAAATATAATATATAATAAGCAAGTCTAAAAGGGTACAACATCGCCGAAAAAATAGTAAAATCATGAACAAATATTTAATATTTCGGATAACTAATATCTTTCATCAGTAAGATGTCAAATGATTCTTATCTTGACATGTGGTAGTCGAACTGAAATAATAATCTTGAACGTTATACAAATTATCACGAATCAATACGCTGGTAAATTGTTTCAATACTGATGTTTAGGAAGAGAAATTAAAACAATTTACCAGCGTATTGATTCGTGATAATTTGTATAACGTTCAAGATTATTATTTATATGATCCATCGCCTCGTAAGATTTATCGTTGTCTATTATTCAGACATTCTATGAGAGTCCTGTACTGAAGCCTGAGTTACAGGAAACAAGCGATGGTAGGGACTCGGTTTATGTTTTTTCATTAATGCCCTTTGGGGAAACTTTCCATAACGTTTTTATCCAAAAACTTACCCGAGCAAGTCTGTCGGTCCTTGACCAACCCTCGTTGTGGTCTGATAGTGCTGGTAAGGTTTTTGAGATCAGCTTGGGCGTGCCCAGGTGATCTCAAATGACGACTCGCTTACGGGGAGGTCGGGCTTGCAGGTGTAGTCACTTCGATGACCATTCATGCGTTTTTTGTTGAATGGCTGTTCTGTCTTGCCAACATACTGCATGCCACATCGACACTGAAGAAGGTATACAACATTCTGGATTTTGCAAGTTACATTGCAATATTTAGTGTATCAGGCTTGCCAACAAATACTGAATACTCAAACATTTACTTGCCACTCCACTGGGTCTGTATACACTATATATTGCTATGCCCCGTTCGGGATTCGAACTCACAACCTCATTGTTGGCTGGCTAGTGATACAGTAGTTGGACTACTTAGACCACTCGGCCACCGAGGCCCCCTTTGTCCTCATCCAAGATATAAAAATGAAAAATATTTCAACAATTGTATACGTTTAATTGATCTCGGTAGACTTGATTTGCTCATATGTGTCCAATTTTTAATAGTAATAGCTTTCCAATAAGTTAGTGTCTTGCACGCTTGAAAAATGTTACAGCTAGACAGAGGCGTGCTTGTTGTGCACACCAAAATTATCATCATTGTATATATCCAAAAAAAACTGAATGACATCTTATTCTTGGCTTTTACTTCAACATTTTATTTGACTGCGTCAATCTTTTATCTTATGATTCAATCATTTTTCATCATATAATTTTTTATTTTTTTTTTTTGCAGAAGAAAGTATATTAACATGTGTTTTTATCATGTGATAAACAAAACATATTTGCTCGGTGATTATATATATTGCATTAGGATGAATAAGTTGTCAGCAAGGTATTTGTCAGGACATTTCATATGCAGTAAATAAGTTGACATTTAAATGGAACTGAAGATAACTTCGGTGTAATGAACAAGTATAAAGATAATAGAGGAACGTTGTACCAAATATCTTGACTGTAATTGCTATGAAAATATTACATAGCAAATAAACGTCATATGTCACCTTTCAAATCTGCAATAGGAGAAAAATGACGCGATTGAATCATTTGTAGCCACCCTCATTAATTGTCGACAGGAATTTATTTGTTAAAGACTAAACTATTGTAAATCATTCTGTTATTACAATTTACGATCAAAACACATTAAGAGCCAATCTGC